AAAGCTAGCCAAGAAAGTGAATTGGTGATCTTAGGCTTTCAAGTAATATTTCATTATGAATTTGATATGTGAAATACAATATAAGAAATTTGTAATATCCAGGATGACCTTCTGAAGGCATTCAGACTTTTTGTGCCAAAAAGCCCTTTTTATAACTACTTCATTTAAAAAGTAATATTTCAAATTATTAAATAAAACATTTCTATATAGTAATATTTTACATTATATTTTACAATAAATGGTATTTTATATTGTATTTATTATCTGATTATCAAATAATATATTTAAATTTGAATTTTCTTAATTGGCAATTGTTATATGAATTTCTTAAAGAAAAAAAATAATATATCAGTAATTTAATTATTGGTAAAATGATCTAGCAACTAGAGTTGGATAATTTGTATGTACTAGATAAATTTTGACCCTATATTTGTACTATACTGTACTAAATTTTATATTAAATATTATATATATTAACTGTACAAACTGTACTAAACTGTATTAATTGTACTAATTTTTCAATCTACTAGCAACTATATGTAAATACTTATACAACTTTCTTTATTTTTAATTAAATTTTCAAATAATGTTTTTTAATTATTAAAGATACTTAGTAAAATTCAATTTACCATTTGATATTATAATATAAAAAATATTTTTAAAATTCTATTATATTTTTGAATAAAAGAAATAATGCATCTGTAAACTATGCCAAACTTCTTTTTAAATATATATTTAAAAATAATGAAAAATTTCATAAAAAGGCAACACTTTGATTAGTATAATTTAAATTTATTTAATTTACATAATTTTTTTTTTAAATATAAAGCTATTATTTATTATATAATATAATTGCTAAAGTATCTTTATACAAATAATGTAATGATTATTTATTAACATAAAAATTTCAAATAATTAATTAAAATTTAAAAATAAAACAACTACATCTTTTAATTTAAAGAAATAATTATGTGAAAAATTCATTATAATAAAATTACAGATTTTAATACGTTCAGTTTAAAATATGCCAAAATTTTATTACCAACCTCTAAAATCAAATATAATATTTTCTCATTCTTAGATTAAATTATACATTTATCAATATTATTTTAACACAAGTATCATATTTTCTTGAGATTTTATTTATTAGTACAATGTTATTTTCTAGAAATATAGCAAATTTGTACAGTACAGTTAGCAATGTATATATTGTATAGATAAATTTTACTATACATACATGTATGATAATTAGCATATTATTATGTATATATGTATAACACAAATTATGAGTTTTATACATAATTATATAACATTGATTAAATTAAAAAGGAAATTTGCATTTTTATTAGTCTTAATATGCTAACTGAATATATATAAATAAATAATATATTCCTTAATTTTTTTAAAAATTTTTTTCTTCTTGAAATTTGAAAATATTCTCTTTTTTTTCAGGTTATTTGAAATTGTTATAATTTAATCAGTCTGAATATATTGATTTATAAAGAATTTAATAACTATCAAAATTACTTATACAATAATTTAATTTATTTAAATGAATTTACAAATTTGATTTTTAATCCTTCTATTTTATATTTAAATTTGTAATTTTTCTAAAATGTAAATTCAATCTTTTTATAAATGTATTCGTCATATTTTTTTAATTAAATATGTTTTGACATTATTGTTATATCTAAGATAAATCCAGTTATACTTTTAGATATTGAAACTATTTCTGATGATAAAACTATATTAGAAAATGAATCTTATGAATCATTAGATGTAATAAATAAACAGGTTTATATCTATATTATTTTATTTATTTAATTTTTTTTAATAATAAATATTAATTTTTTTATTCTTAAAAATTTTTTAGAGTGATAATGAAAGTGAAATAGCCTTTTTTACAAGAAATCTTTTAGTTATAGAGGTTATACACTCAACTTTTCCTATTGAATATCCAAAAATTTCATCATAAAGAGTAGCTACTATTTTCAACATTTCCAGTTAATCAAATCTAATAATTTGTTTTAATAATGTAAGTATACATTATGATAAATATTTAGAAAATATTTTGATATCTTTATTTAATTTTAAACATTTTTTTCAGATACAATATTCTATTAATAGTACTAGAGGATCTAACTCAATTAAAAATTGTCTATTTTTTGGAGTATCAGTTAAAAAAGATGAATGAAAATATCAAGGCATTAAGTATTATACTTTTGCTAACTTAAAATTTATTAAAGAATTGCATAATAAAGTTAATATGGAATCTGAAACTTTTATTAAAGCTAATCAATATTAGAATGAAAGTAATATAAAAACTAAAAATTATATGTAAGATTTATAAAATTATTAATATTATATTTTTTTTCTTTACTAATAAAATTTTATAAATAAAGATTATTTCTTGCTACTTAATTATCAATTTGCAAATTTAAAAATAATAATAATTAGTATTGTAATGGATAAGCAAAATTAAGAAAACTTATTAAAAATGTAAAGAATATATTATTGGATGTGATAAATGTATTAAAGGAAAAAAATGGTATTGTTATATTAAAGTTTCAGAAGAGATTGATTTAAAATTATTATGCAATCTTTTTTAAAAACAAATTGTTTGTATTTTAATATATATTTATTTTTTATAGTAAATATAATAAAGTAATAATTATTCTTTTATTAAATTAATAATTTTAATACTAATAAAGAATACTATATCTTAATTTCATGTTCTTCTAAAAGTAATTTTGTGGTAAATATTAAATTTATAATATAATTAAGTTTTTGATTAAATTATATTAATTTTATATTTTATTTAGAATTTTCACATATTCAAAATGGTCAAGTTATTAGAGAAAATATAATTGATATTTAATATATTAAATTTATTTCATATAATTTAGTTGTATTTCCCTATATTGCATTAGTATATATAGGTATTCATAATCATTTACCACCATCACCTGATTGTACACCTGCTAGTATTAAAGATGAGTTATAAATAAAAATTTAGAATATTATTGCTTTAGATGATAATGTAATACCATGTTCAATTATTGCAGGTAATGTTTTGTTTAAATACATATAATATTAATTTAATTATTATAATAACATATTAATGAGTTTATAACAATATCCTGATATCTAGAATTCTGACTTCAAATTCCTGACATATCCAAAATTCTGATAGTCTATAATTCTGATGGTCTTCAATCCCAAATGAATATAATTCTGACTGTTAAAATCCTGACATTATAAATCCTAATTCAATGCAATAAAAATAATAAACCAACCTTTACCTTTTCTAACCCTAATTTAATACAATAAAAAAATAAACCAACCTTACTCTAATCCTGATTCTAATCCTAAACTAATCCTAATCCTAATCTTAAAACTAATTAGTTTAGTATATTAAAAAATATAGTCAGGATTCTGACAGTCAGGATTATATTCTTTCAGGATTGAAGACTATTGGGATTATGGACTATTGGATTTTGGATATGTCAGAAATTTAGAGTCAGAATTCTAGATTATTAAGATTCTGGGTATCGGAATATTTGTAGAATTTCTATATTAATATATATAATTTTAAATAGAAAATAGTGTTAGAGCAACTTTTAATAAGAATATATATAAATATAAATAAACTTCAATCACTTGTTGCCAAATGTTATAAAAATATTCATCCTTATAGTTAAAGTAATTTAGAAGTTCTATATAGTATTCAATATAAAAAATTTGATTTACATAATTATGTTCGTCATATAGATAAATATAATTTTTTTGTCTTGAATATAATATTATATATATTTTTATGTTTATTAATAATTTATAAATTTTAAAATAGATCAATTCAAAGATAGATAAATATTAATTATATATATGCATAATTTTCAAGCAAAAGCATTACAAGAATTAAAATGTTTTTAAATTGATTTAACATTTAAAAGTGTTTTTAGAAATATTAATGAATTCGAAATTAATACATATGATTATGCATAAATTAAGCAAGTATTTATTTATTATTGTTTTTTTTTATATATTTAAATTAATTTTTTAAATATTTTTTAGTTCTTTCATATTGCTGAATTTATATCAATATTTTTACAGAAAATGCATATGAACGATTGTTTATTTAACTTTTTGAAGTTATTGAAAATTTGAGTAAAATTCCTGTAAAATTTTATCATATTAATGATATAGGTTAGGAATGTATTCTAGGCGATTTTGATGTAGAATAAAAAAAGGATTAGATTTAGCTTTATCAAAAAGAGATTTTAGTAAAGATTGGAAAATACATTTGACTTATATTTTTAAATCATGTTTAATTCATTTTAATTGATAAAGTATTTTATTTTAATTATAAATTTAATATTTTAAAATTTTAAATAATTTTTTTTATTTTAGAAATTTAATGACTAAAGATTTTAATAATGAAGTTTATATATTAGCAATATCAATTCTATCTAAATTTAATGTTAAAGTGGTTTATAAATGCTTTAAAAAATTGGAAACTTTTGATGATCAACGAATTATAGGTAATTTTATTTAAAATTTTTTTTTAATTATAATATAATTAGATTCATAATCATAGCTGACTAGAAACTGGCTTAATATTTGAAAGTAACACATAATTACTCACGATATATTTTAATAAATTTTTTAATTTTTAATTTTTGGATTATTGAATTAATTAAAATTTGTTTTATTTTCTTTTAATTTATTTATTTATATAATTACGCTTGAATCTTATAATTTACTTATATCTCGTAAAATAGATAAAATTAATTTCAAGATACAAGAATTTTTATTTTTAACTTATTATTTTTTTTATTACTTTATTAAAATGCTTTCATTTTTTTGTAATTTTTTTTTTGTTTGGTAATCTCTTTTAGATTAGATCATAAAATAATGATTTTTTATTAAATTATTATTATTATTTTTGAGGCACAGTGACTGATATTTCTTTATTTTCAAATTTTTTCTATTTAGATTCTTCTTTTGCTTTTAAAAGGTTTGGACAGCGAGGTGTTGTAGCAGTGAAAAAATGCCTTAGGCTTTCCTAATTAAGATGAATTAATTAATTACTTTATTTATTCTCAAAAGCTAATTAAAATGACTTGCATTGAAACCATCAAATAAATGTCAAAGTCTTTCTTGAAATTAAAAATTAATGTAAAATCACAATAAAAAAAAAGAAAAACTTTTGAAATATATACCAAACAGTTTTAATTTTTTAAAGATTTTCCAGCTAATTTATTTTTCAATATAATTTTCATAATTCGTGAAGGAATAAAGAAAAGTAAAGAATTTAATACAACTTTTATTAGTAAAATTAAACATGCATTTTTGATTTAAAATATCATTTTCCATTTACTAACAGCTTTACCAAAACTATTTTGAATTTCTTTAATTAGAAATTTGTTGATATCATTAAGTTTTAATTTAGAAGCTGTTATTTAATTTCTTATTTTAAAATAATATACCAAACTTAAAAATATATCAACCTAAATCCAATCAAGTATTTTAGTTAATTAATGATATGAAATTTAATAAATTATTTACTAAAAAAAAAATTAAAAAAATATTGAATTGCATTATGTAAAAACTAAAATACTATCTGTTGTTTCAGGATTTAAATTTGTGTGATGTTCAAGAATATATTTTCATAATGTGCACATATTGTAAAAAATAAATTTTGATAAAATATTATGATCAATAATATTCTGTAATATTGTATAATGTAAAATTCTTCGCAATTTATAATAGTAATATGTAACATTTAATCTTAATTAAAAGGTTAAAGGACAGACGCAATAATAAGGTAAGCTGTCAATGTTATTTCTTTTATTTTTTTTTATTTTTTTGTTTTTTTAATATTTAATTAATTATTTTATTTTTTTATTAGATTTGATCAATTCCTCTACTTTGGCTAAGAACTAGACAGAATTTTTAAATAGAACTAACTAGTTCGTCACTGTAGTAAAGGTAAGTTGTTAATGTTTTTTTTATTTTTTTTATTTTATTAATATTATTTTTTTCTATGTTTATTTTTTCCTTTATTTTAGGATTGATTGGTTCTCCTACTTGGGCTAAGAACTATCAAAACAGAACTGACTAGCTTGTTACTACAGTGGAGGTAAGCCATTCAATATTTTTTCATTTCTTTTTTTTTTATTTTATTAAAATTATTTTTTTCTATATTTATTCTTTCCTTTATTTTAGGATCTGATCAGTTCCTCCACTTTGGCTAAAAACTGAATAGAATTTTTAAATAGAATTGATCAGCTTATCACCATGGCAAAGGTAAGCTGTCAATGTTTTTTCTTTTCTTTTTTTTTTATTTTATTAATATTTTTTAATATTTTTTTTTTATTTTTTTTATTTTAGGATAAATCAGTTTCTCCGCTTTAGATAAAAACCAGACAGAACCTTTGAATAGAACTGACTGGCTCATTATCGTGGTGAAGGTAAGCTGATAATTTTTGATATTTTCCTTTTTTTATTTAATAATCATTTTATTTATTATATTTTTTTATCTATTTAGGTTCGATCAGTTTATACGCTTTTGTTAAAAACTGAATGGAACTTTTAAATAGAACTGATTGACTCATCATTGTGATGAAGATAAGCTGACTAATTTTTCTAATATATTTTTTTTCTTATTTTGGTAATTATCTTGCCTTTTTTAGATTTGATCAGTTAGCTAGGAACTTTCGAATAGAACTAACTGGCTCATCATTGCAGCTAAAGTGAGCTAACTAATTCTTTTGATTTATTGTTTTATTTTCTTTTCTTATTTTGATAATTAATTTGATTACTAATTTATTTATTTCATATTATTTATTTAATTTAGGCAGTTTTAGGTTGGATCAAGATCAGATCATCCTTTGGCTAAAATTATCAGATAAAATAGGATTTTTACCACAGTATATGTTTTCAATAAATTCTTTCATTTATTTTAAATTAATAATCATAATCATTCAGTCCCAATGTTTTTTTTAAAAAAATTATATATAAACAACCGTTGTTCCTATCAATATTGATATTAAAATTGAAATTGATATTGATATTAATATTGATATAAATAAAAATGGCCTCCATAGTTTTTGCATGAAGCTAACCAAAATTTATACCTATACTTTCCTTTTTGGGAATAGCTATAGCTTCCACTATGTAAGTAGAATCACCTGACACCAACATCTATATGGCATGAACTGTATATAGTGTTAATTTTATAAATTTAATTAATACAATTATTTTAATAGATTGGATTCAATAAATATTATCATCAACCTTATGTCTTAGCATCTTTAAATAAACATATTTCAAATATGAATAACGAAATTTGAGAATGATATGGAAATAATACTAATATCGCAGAGGCTGCACATGCTCAAGCTAATAGAGAAGGAAAACAATTAAAACTTATAACAGCAATTTTAAGGTAAAATATATATATTTTATCATTTCTTTAATTTTTAATTATAAAAATTTTAATTAATTTGTTTTTATAGAGGTAAAAAATTAGATGAACGTCTTTTTAAAATAAAAGAAATTCATAATAAATCTGGAGTTCCTTATACTAGAAGAGATAAAAGTGAAATTAAAAGAAAAGCAATAGCTATTATACGAAAAAGTAAGTAATAAATAATACAAAATTATTTTTTTATTATTAACTTTTTTAAATAATTTAATATAAAGGTACTCGTAAAAGAAATCATAAAGAAGTATTAAAGGAAGAATCTAAAAGTAAGTTATTATTATTATTATTTTTATTTAGTATCAAATTAATTTTAATTTTTTTTAAAATATAATTATTAGAAAAAACAATAATGCATAATTTAACTAATCAAGAAATATCCGATAAAAAAGGTGTAAAAAGAAAAGCTGTTATAGATAGTTCAAAAGTCAAAAAAACCCGAATAAATATTAATGAACCTGATAATGAACAAGAAAATAACTTATGTTCAGAAATCGATATTGAAGAACGATAGATGAAATTAGCTGAAGGCAATTAGCATATCGTAGAGCTCAAGCTGAAATTGAAAAATTAGAATTATGTAAAGAGCTTGAAAATAATTAGCAATTCATATTAATCAATAAATAATAAAGTAAATAAAAAAAATACATTTTTCTTAAAAATATAAATTAAAAATGTGTTAAAAATTATTTTATATATTTTTTATATCAAAAGTTTAACGAAAAAATAGAAAATTAATTTATCTTCGAAAATTTCATACATGTATAGTTTCTAGAAAATGCAATTCTATACATGTATGGTTTGTAAAATGATGATCTATACATGTATGGTTTTTAAAGCATACATAACATACCATACATACATTTTAAAAAAAAACCCGTACAATACATACATTGCTAACCGTACTGTACAGGTTTGTGTAATACCCTTATTTTCTTTAATAATCTTCAATTTTTATAGTTAATAAATTAAACTTTCATGTAAATAGCTAATAAAAAATTGAAATTGTTTATTTACCTAACCTTTTTTTTTACACATTTACTTAATTTCCGTTACTGTTGCATTTAAAATAGTTTTCCCGAAGAGACAAAATCTTCGTCCATAAATAAATCTGTAGATCAATTTCGAACGATATGTAGAGGTAGGTTGTTATAATTAAATTTTTATATAAATATATATGGATTTGAAGTTTTTTGAAATGACATACAACGTTCTCTTTCTTTTCTTTTGCGTACATACCTTCCTTTTTTCTTTGCGATATTATCGTGTTCGCCGTCTTAACTTCATTATTTTTAACGTTGTAACTTCGTTTATTTTAAATTCTTATTTTCTTATTTTTAATTTATTTTGTGTTTTGCGTAATTTAATTAATTAGCATTTTTAGCGATTAGTTTAAAGTGTACGCGTCGACGACACTGATTAATTGATTTTATTAAATAAATTTAGCTTCATAATCACTTCAATATTCTTCTGCTTTACAAATACAATTGTTTATAAATACATAAACGAAAGAACTGAATACAACAATACCTTATATAATTATTATTGGAAATAAGTATTATTATTAAAATTTCGTGTTAATTATTTAAAATAATAAAGAAATTTAAAATTTATACCCGGTTATAAATCAAGAATTTCCAAAAGGATGTCCAAGGCCCAATTGAACCAAAATAAAAAAAAAAAAATTTGAAAAAACCAGTTACAAAATAATAATTGGAAATTCTTTACAGCAGCATATCGAACTGACACTCCGTCTCGAATCCAAAAAAGAAACTAAAATTTAGAAAATCAATTATATAATAATTCAAATAAAAATAATGTCAAAAAAGGACGAAAGAAAAAAAAAAACATTCCTACTTATCACGAAAAATCAAATCATCTTTCTCTGCAACCAGAAGTTATCGAAGGTCAAAACTAAAAACGAAAATTATCTAATACTTGCAGAACTGGTTCAACTCAATAGAAAAGAACAGGGCTAAAATTCCAAAAAAAATAAATTATTAATAATAAATATATTCCGATTGGTAAAGCCTTTATTTATTTTTATTATTATTTATATTTTTTTTATTTTTTTTTTTAGTTTATTTTTTTAGGCTATTTATTTCGAGTTGGATTATAACAGGCTGCATAGGTAAGGTTTTTTATTAATTTTATTTTTTACATTTAATTATTAAATTATTCACTTTTAGCTTCATATCTTTCTTCGAAGTAAACACGATATTTTTAATTCCATTTTGATAGATTTAGACAGTTACGATTGAACCCTTTTGATTTTATTATTTTTTATCCTTAGGGTTTGGATCGTTTCAGGAAGTATTAGTTAAAGATCTTTCAAGATCCATTCAAAATTTAAAATGTATATCATTTTATTACAATAAATGAAAGAAATTTAAAGTTGGATGGCCCACATAATATTCTTAAGGAATTAATTTATAGAAAAACTAAAAAAGCGAAAACTATAATTAACGTATCCAGATAATAATATTGGTTTCTGTTAAAATGATTTTACAAGGAAATGCAAATACTTAAGATGTTAGCCATAAAAGAATATAAGACGAAAATGAATATATAAAAAAATTAGACAGACAGTCAAACGAGAGTGATTTAAAAATATTTAGATACTTGTATTCATTCATATGGAACTGGAAAAATCACATAAACCACTCTCCTTACAATACAATTACTATATCACTATATTTTGGGTTCTTGTCTTAACGGATACCAACTTTTCATTTCAGAGATAAGTTTTATTAAGGTTGCCGGTCAAAACCTGAGGCATCGAAATCGAAATCATCGAAATCGAAAGGTTTCGACTTTGCCAAAATGGAGATTAAGCTTTTCTTTGTAATGTTATTTATTTTTTTTAGTAAGCATATATATATAACTTCAGTAGAAAAGGGGGAAATCTGACTAATTTTAATTCCTTAGCTAAAATTTGTAAATTGGTATAACAAAAAAAAATTTTAACAAAATTTATATTTCTCCAAATTCTCGAAAATAATTTAAAAACGTAAGTTTGGGTATAGATCGTTTATCCGATTATTTATTCCTTCAATCTGGATATACCAATCCGTAGAAATTTGAAAGAATGATCAGATCATATTGCGGTTCTAGGAAATCCGAATGGTATCATTTTTACAATTTTAATTTAATGTTAAATTTATATAAATAGCAATGAGACTTCATAAGACGATCTATTTTCTCAAAGCATGCTCCATTTTCGCATTATTTTCACGTTTCAAATGCTGGGATCTGACTCGTCAATAAACTTATTTTTCTTTATTTATAAATTGTTATAAATATTCTATCCTTTCAAATCATTTTTTAATATATTATTCATTCCTATTTAAGTTATAAATTGGTACTTCATGTCTGATCTAAGTCTATCAAATGTCATAATACAAGTTAATCAATTCACTTTAATATTAGAAAGTGAGTATTCCATTTAACTTTTATAACAATACAATAATAACTTAATGAGTCTTGTCATCTAAAAAATATTTAGTGGTTCTTAAAATTCAGGAATGCCGAAAATTTCTTTTGTATAATCGAAAATAAAACAACTAATGAATCCTAAAGATAGTGAAATAAGTTGGTTTTAGTTGAGTCTAAATGAAATTTGTTTCTTTAGAAATCTTTCAAAAAGCAACATTTTTCTGTATTAAGTTATCCCACATCTTATTCAATAAATAATAATAAAATTATTTTAAATAAGAAAAGATGATGAGACAATTAAGTCGTATCGATGGTATTGTTCAATAATTAGACGTATAATATCTATTGATTAAAAATCTCGAATAAAATTTAAAAGGTATCCATTATATTGCGAGAGGAAAACTATTATTAAAATTTGCTCATTTTCATAAATATGTAAAATGCGTAATTTCATATTTGAAACTATATATTAATATAATTTCATAAAAAAATTTATTCTTACATATTACAAATTATCTATTGTAAAAATCAATGAATGTAATCGTGACAAACTTTTTCATAATTTTTTCTTAAATATTCGCTTATTACAATCGAACCTTTAAATTTCTAGGTTCGATATTCGTTAAGGAATTGGGTAAATTTGGTAAGCTATTTATTTTAGTCCGATTACAATTGAGTATCTTTAAGGAATTGGGTAAGGTTGGTAGGATAGTTATTGGAGTATTAGAGCAATAGAGTTCCGTTAAGGAATTGGGTAATGTTGGTAGGATAGTTATTGGAGTATTAGAGAAATTGAGTTTTGCTAATTTTCGATATCTTCGCAATACTAGGGCATTTAATATAGAATCCTCATATTTATTTGTAATAGTTAAACTAAAAGTAGTATCATCATAAATAATTAATTCAAGGTTTATGATTCTTTTTTCTAATTAATTAATAATTTCTTGTTTGTCTTTGTTTATTTCATCCAGTTCTATAACCTTTTCTTCTAATTTATTAATTGTTTCTTGTTTGTTTTTGGTTTCTTCTTCTTGCTCTTTATTCTTTTCTTCTAATTTCTTAATAATTTCTTGTTCGGTTTTGGTTTCTTTTTCTCGCTCTTTGAACTTTTCTTCTAAATTTTTAAATTGTAAACGTAACCCTTCGTTACTTTGTTCTAATTCCTTAATTCTAGTTACCAAGTTTGCTAAGTCTTGTTCTAAATTTCTTCTTAAAACCATTATGTAATAAGAATTTTTACAATTGTTCTAAGGATAATATTTATTCTCTTTTTATGTAAGGACAATTCAGCCCTCGGTTTAAAATTTTCCCATATGTATAATGACTTAATGAATTTCCATAAATAATCTAGTCTTCCGGATATAAAAAGGATCTAACCTAACCTATTCTTATAATTGATCGTCGGTGACATCCAGTGATTTCTGTATATAATTTTAATGGTTTTTTTGGTTTTTTATATTTTAGCATACTCTTCAAATATAAAAATATACAGTACAATGAATTAAAAACAAAAAAAGAAATCGGTTACGCAAGTTAAAAAGTTGTTTTGAATTATATTTTGCACAAATTTAACAACAAATGCAAGAATTCTAAAATAAGATGTAGTCGTTGTTGCCATGGATTTATAAATTTGAAATAATAAAATATCAAGCATTTTTTTAATGCATTGTAATGCATGTCACATATTCGCTGTGATCAAAAAATAAAAAATAAAAAGAAAAAAAAAAATGTAGTGCACAGCAATCTCATATAATTTCTTAAATTCGTAATATTACAGATAATAATAATTGTTATTTTTAAAATAATGTATCGATGATTCTCGTACCATTTCAACTCGATGAGTTTCTTCAAATTTCTTTTCGCGTATTTCATTTTTTTATAATTTCAGATAAATAAATCCAATGAGTCCACAATCACATTCTCTGTAATTTTGATCAACAAAATAAAAAAAAATACTGATACTAAAATGAAAAAGCTTAATTTAAAGACAATGATATATTAGAGTTTGCAGTTTGCAGGAGATTTTTTCCTTCGTTTAGCATTAAGTGATTGATTGCATCAGTTCAATTATATTTTAAA